AAAAAAAAAAAAAAAAAAAAAGGAGGATGAACTGATACAGAGACTCACATGATGGAAATTAAGTCAAGATGAAAGAATTTAAAGGACAGGCTGGACAAAATGAGCCTCCCCTTCCTTTCTCAGCCTGTCCTTTTTGGGAGACATACTTTTTCAAGTTCCAGCTCAGGCCCGTTTTATGGATGTGGGATGGAAACAGGAAAGTGTCCTGCAGACAGCAGTCCAAGGAATTTTGCTTCATCCATTGTGGGAAACCCTTGAGCTTCTTCTGCTCATCCAGAACGGCCGAAATGCAGGATAACTCTCTAGCTACGATTAGCCGCCCACCTTCCAAACCACTTATGTGGGAAGCAATTCAGGAAGTCAACCCAAGGAAGCGCGTGGGAGACGTGGCGGGTGCCCGAGGGCGAGGGTGACGCTCGGGCGGTGTGGATGGGAGCTACGGCCTCTTTTGGCCACGGGTCCCAAAGGTGGGTGGGTGCCCCCCTGCCCCCGCCCCCGCCTCTTCTAGAGCACCCCCTGGGAGGGCACTTTGCCAGTAATCTTGTTGGAGCACTCCAGGAGGGCATTGTGGATGTCCTTGGCGCATGCGATTTGGGACTTGATCATGCTGAGGTACTGGGTGTAGGGGAGGCTCTCTGTCTGGATGGCGTCCGGCTTGGTGGCGGTCGGCACGAGCGTCGGGGAGTGCTTGGCGCTGTCAAAGCTCTGGGAGAGGCACTCGTAGGCCAGGCGCTGCAGTGGGAAGGGAGATGGAGGGTGACGTGAGGGTAGGAGGCAGGCCAGTGCCCTCCCCGGCCGTCCACCGCACAGGCTCCAGGAAGGAGCAGCCAGAGGCTGGCCTCCACCTGCCAAACCCTCCTTGCCCAAGTCGGGCCCCAAAGCAACAGCCCCTCTTTGTGGCCTGTCCTCAACACCCACGAGCACGAGGGGCCAGAGGCTTGGGAAAGTTGCCTTCTGGGGGGCTGCCATCCTGAGAGTCATTCCCCCCCCCCCCGCCAGCATGGCCACAGTCCCAGCTGCCAACGTGCACAAAGGCCTCGCCAGTCTGCCCATCTTTTGGCAACTCTGCTCAGCGCTACCACAGACAGACTGCTTCTGTGCGTGGAGGTTCTACACTCTTTCAGCCTGTTGCCACTGACAGGCTTCCCCATTTCTATAAGTCGGGCAAATCCAATCTCAAGAGCCCTCTTGAGCTGACAGGAGAGCAGATTCCACCCATTGATTATGGGCAGAGCAGTCTATTGGGCCTGAACACACTGCCAACTTGCAGGGACCACCTTTTAATTGCTATAAGGTGCCTCGGGGCCTCTTTTAAGGAGAAAGGCAAGTTACAAATATTTTAAATACCTACCTACCTACCAACCAACCAATTTGCCTGGGGATACTCACCAGGCAGAGCTCTAGCTGGTCGCACAGAGCGTAGAATTCTTCCAAACTTTTGTCCACCCGCTGCACTGGCCCATCGTTACTTTTCCTGAAAAAGGAGATAAGCCAGGTTTTCATTATGAGAAAAGAGAAACGGAGAGGAAGAGGGGGAAGCAGAAGGAAGCCTCCAAAACTTACTGTCCACTGTCGATGTTTGTGTTCTGAATAAAGTTTTGAGCAGCTATTTTCATCAGGTTCTGGAAATGAAAGAAAACAACAACAGCACATTGTATCTATCCTAGGAAACAGTTGCAGTAACGCCTTCTTCCCACTCCACCCACTCCCTCCAATTCTGTTGAACTACTGTAACATTTCCATCCTCTCCAGCTACAATGTCTCCTGAAACACTGGCTGGTCCTTAAAGAGATCTGGAACTTTTTTCTTTTCAAGGAGGAACAAACTGCTTATCTGTTTGTCTGATCAAGGGGCCAGCCATCGACAAAAGTTTGCCACGGCAAAAGAGCCTCTGCCTGCCTTTGAAATGACACAATATATTCTTGTATTGGTTTTGTTCTGCCTCCAGAAATATTGCCTTGCAATGTTTCTAACCATTAAGGAAAGGCGTACAGAGTTATACTCTGCGGAGTTCTTTGCTTAAAGTACTGCTGTGCAGCCTTCCAGAGCAAAGCCCACCCCGGGGGGGGGGGGGCTCATCAAAGGCACTTGGTCATTTACGCTTTCAGGTTACACTTACAAATCTGTATATTACAGCTGCTCCCGATACATGCTTTCAGCATTTAGACAAAACTCTTAACTGCAATTTAAAAAAAAAAAAATTAAAAGGGGAAAAGCTTCAAGGAAGCTACACAGCCCTGCCCAGGCCCAGTAAGAGAGGTGCTGGGTTCCACAGCTACCCGAATAGCGACTGTACAGCCCCAGAGGCAACCAATCTCATCTGGTTTTGGAGGATAAGCAGGATCAGGCCCGATCAGTTGCAAAGAATCTCGCCAGACACTCTGGAGGGCCACGGCTGTCCACCGGAGTCAACACCACTCAGGCTCAGTGGTTTGAGGCCCTGACTCAGGAGAAGACCACTTTGCTATTGTGGGGAACCACAATCCTACATCTAGCCTTCCCAAAAGGTTCATGTCACCCACTGCTGGCAGGATGACTGGTCTGGGGGAGAGGCAGCCCATTCACAAGCGTAAGGAACATATTTCAAAAGCACGGGTGTGTGTGGGGGGGGAAGAGCATCAAATTCTAAGTGCCGAAAGGGAACAACTGAGAAAACTCTGTGATGACTTGGTTCATTTCAGGCGTTGAGACATGACCTTCAAAATTGTACACAGAGCCATGTTTTGACTCAAACTGAACCCACACTGCATCCCAGCTGACCTCCCCCGCCCCATTTAACAACGGCGGGAAAACTGAGGCCCAGAACATGCGTGTTAACCTTCCCTGCCCACAGTCACAGCCACACTCAGATAACTGGGAGGATGTGCGCAGCAATTCCAAGAGCAGCCGCTTCACTTCCAGGACCCTGTGAGGTCAAGAAACTCAAGGACGGTCCTTATCAAAACAAAAAGTGATACAGGAGCCTTCATGTTCTGGTGAGTGCAAGGGCAAAGTTCTCTTCCATGTTGCTGATACGGACACTGCCTCCTTGCTGAGTCATTTACCAGAAGACCAGGCCCATCAGCCGGGTGGTGAAGCATCCCTTCCACACCCTATCACGAGACTCCTGTTTTGCTTGCTTCCGCAGCTTTGCTTCCCCCCCCCCCCCCCCCCAAAAGTTACACTTCAGCACTTGGTACATTTGGCTAAGGACAGAGTCAATGGCCAAGATTTTCTCCCCTTCAAAAAACCCCCCAGTGATGTTAAAAGTTTCCTTTCTTTATTCATATCAGAGCGCTGCACAATTTAAAATTACGGATGCATATGGAATACTGGTAAAATTAAAAGCAAATTAAAATGTTAAGATAGATTGTTTTGGGCCAGAAGTGGGTTATTTCAATAGTTATCTTGGCCATCTGCTGGATTTTCTTTTGTACAAGTGCTGGAGCATAAACTGTATGCCCATAAATGCTGTACTGATAGAATTTATCCACATTCACATAAAAATTGTCCTGTATCCAAGTAGCCCCATTTTACTTGATTATTCTTTGATCATTCAACTTCACTTCATAGTCTATTAAGTGACCTCCAGCCAGGATCCTGTCCTGGTGAGACACTCTTCAGCATTCAACCCTCTTGTTAAAAATTAAACAGCCTGGCTTGGCAAGAACCACAAATTTAGAAGGGGGAGAAGGAACAGATGTGTTGTGACACAGAGCGACAGCTGCAGGGAATAAGAACAACAGCCATAATTTGGAGTAATAGGAGCAACATGGAATAATTTTCGAAAATTTACAGGTTTTTGACGTATACATTCCAATGAAAGAATTTTTTTAGGCATTCATCCCATGTGCAAGAGAAGAGCAGAGTCTGAGCAGCAGAGCTGCAGTTTTCATGGCTGGGCCACAACTTCCTGCACAAATGGGAAAAGTGAGTTTGGAGAAGCAAAAAGCCTCCTCTAACGCAAACTCACTCTGCGGCTTCTCTCCTGACCTCAGGGTGCCCCCTGCCTGCAAGACATACGCATTGCTTAATTTCTAATTTCCTTCCTAAAGGGCCCATGCAGAAAAACACAGTAGGAACCCCCTCATCCATGAGATCTGTATCCACGGATTAATTCATCCATGAACTGAAAAATATTAAAAGAAAAAAAAAATCAATACAAAACTATCTTCACATGTATTACCAGAACCGACTATTAGAGGGAGACAGAAACCATGCTATGAAGACTTGTTAGGGAAGAATAGCATCGTCTCTGGCGCCTTCTAGTGGCTAGTTCTGTTAATGCATGTGAAAATATTTTTCCTTGTTTTTTCCCATTTCATCTATCTATCTATCTATCTATCTATCTATCTATCTATCTATCTATCTATCTATCTATCTATCTATCTATCTATCTATCTATCTATTCCATGGTTTTCAGTAACCACGTAACTCCCTTGAAGAAGAAGAAGAAACAAATACTGTAGGGCCCTCGTATCCATGGAGGATTGGCTTCAAGATCCCCACCCACCCACCGATGTTGACATAGCGCGGTCTCTGGTGCCTTTCAGTGGGAGGTTTCCGGCCAGCATTGCTGCCAGAGCTCCAAAGCCACATGGCCGAAAATAGAGAAAGAGCTGACCACTTGCTGACCAGGCAAGTTACCAGGGAAATCCTGGGAACGACTCTCTGTTTCCCCCCTTGGCCAGTTCTGATGCGACACCATGACAGAATACACTCCCCCTCCTCCTTAACCCTGTTAAAAGAATGGCCTGAAATACACAACTTTTCTGTCAAATCGCTGTAGAAATGTCTCCGATACTTTTTAGAAATCGCCCAGTGTCGTGTTATGTGTTGCCAAGCTGGAACCAATTTGCCGGGAGCCCAATCCCGCTTTCAGAGTAACTGAAAAATGCCGTATTTAAGGAGTTCTCATAACCTCGAGGGGATCTGAATCCGCGTCGCCCTTGTTCTCAAAGGGCAGGGAGGCTGCTCACTGCGTTCTGCCCTCCTCGTTCCAAAACTACTTTCCCCGGTAACGGCGTTCCTCCCGGCTTGTTACCCGCAGGCCCCGCCCCCTGCCCTGCCCTCCCCTCACCTGCAGGCTCTCCTTGAGCTGCGGCAGCAAGAGGCGGAAGCGCTGCACCGGGTCGAAGTCCTGCGCTTGCGCGGCCNATTTTCTTTTCCCGCCCGTCGCCCGCCTCGCCTCAGGGGGACTACCGCTCCCGGCATGCCGCGCGGCCGCCCGCTCCTCTCTCCTCTCCGGAGGAAGAGCGCAAAGGGAGGCTCCCGGCATGCATTGCGCGGGGAAGGGAGCCGCTCTCGCTCGCGGGACTGCGGCTCCCGGCATGCTTCGTGCTTAGCTCCGCAGGCAGGGCTGATGGGAGCGCCCGTCGCCCGCCTCGCCTCAGGGGGACTACCGCTCCCGGCATGCCGCGCGGCCGCCCGCTCCTCTCTCCTCTCCGGAGGAAGAGCGCAAAGGGAGGCTCCCGGCATGCATTGCGCGGGGAAGGGAGCCGCTCTCGCTCGCGGGACTGCGGCTCCCGGCATGCTTCGTGCTTAGCTCCGCAGGCAGGGCTGATGGGAGTTGCAGTCCTAAAGACTCAGATTTAAGAAGCGGGCCGTAGGTCGCCTCAGGCGGCCATTTCCCAGGATCCCTTGCGTGAGCTCCCCGTGCTTTCCGGTGTTCCTGGCGCGGCTCCTAAAGTCATCTTTTCCGCGGCGCCCCGGCTTCGCCCGCCCGCTTTCCTCGGACGCGACAGGCCCCTCGGCGCTCCTCTGTCTCTAACCTTTCCGGAGCCGTCCTAGAGGACTCGGACTGCATTTCCCAGCGGGCCCCGCGCCTGGACAGGAAGTGGCCCGGGGCTCCGCCCCCTCCCGCAGGTAGCCCCTCCTCGCTGCCGCGGGGGCTTCCTCTGCGTCCGCCACTGGGTTCGCCATGGCGCCCACCATCCAGACCCAGGCGCAGCGGGAGGAGCCTGGCCACAGGTGAGCGTGACGTCTTCCCTCTCGGACGCCTGGGTCCCTCCGCTGGCTGCGGTGGGGAGAGGGGGGGGTCTCTTTAGGACTCTTAGACCCGAGAAACCCGGGCACTGCCTCCAGGACGAGGAAAAGTCCCTCAGCCGCCAGCTGGCTGTGGGGGGGATGATGGGAGCTGTAGTCCAAAAAGGGTGCCTTCCCAGGCTCTGGTCCTTCCCCAAAAAGGGTCCCACAAGAGATCTAAAACCTCGAACTCCCCTGCCCTGTTTTGAATGGATGGTGGCAGTCCTGTTTTAAAGTGCATTTTAGCATTGATTTTTATGGACCCTTTAAAATATAATGCTCGTTTGGTTTTTTTTTAAAGTATTTTTATACTCACTGCTTCTAGCTTTAAATATTGTCTTTTAATTGGCATGAGCCGCCTTAGGTCCTTTTTTAAGGAGAAAGGCAGGGTAAACAATATTTTAAATAATAGATAGATGCATCGTGAGTGGGTAGCAATGGGCTGAGCGTCTGCCTGCTTGGACTTCCTGCTTGTTCTTGTGGACCAGGCTTTTTGCCCTCATCCTAAACCAGTTGGAACACCCTGCCTTCTCTGCACCAACACCTTTCAGTTTCCTAGGTGCTTGGACAGGTGGCGCCCATCAGCTACCTACTGCTTCTTCATCTTTCATTTTTATTTATTTTACCTTCCAGGGCCAACTCTCACCGGACGCTCCCCGAGAGGTAAGGCTCTCCTTTCTGTTTCTCTGCACATCGTCTTCTGTTTCGGATGTAGCTGTAGACGCCTCTCTCTCCCTTCTCTCTGCAGATCAGGGGTGGTGTGCCGAGTAAAGTATTGCAACAGTTTACCTGACATCCCCTTTGACCCCAAATTCATCACATACCCATTTGACCAGAACAGGTGAGCAGGAAAAAGGCCTCGGAGCAGAATTGGTGCTGGGCCATGGAGCATTTAAGGCTTCAGAAAGGCAAGGCTGACCTTTCAGGGGCTGAGAGAACGTCATTTTGCTTAGACTGCAATCCAAAGTCCTGAGAGGTTCAGATTATCTAGTTTTTGTGTCCGTGAGTTATTGGCTTGTGAAGTGTCTAACGATAACATGCCTTCAGTTTTGTGTATAAACGTGACATTCATGCAAATTGTTGTAAAGTGTTTTTATGATCTCTGCCGCTTTAGGCTTGCACACGAAGCTTAAGATATGGTAATGTCAGTGGACACTAGGATGTTGGGATGGGTGTGCTGATTTGTTTGTGCGTGAAGACACTGTACGGGTATAACAAAGCCAGGTTGTTGTTTTGTGTCGTGTTCCAAGATACACCTCTGTGCATCATTTCAGAATAGAAGTAACTTTTTCAATATAGAATAGCTGCTCTTGTTCAGATGAACAGTTATGCAAGGTGGCAAAAAATTTGGAAGACCGATGAGCTTTTTCTGGCTGCTTATAGTTCCAGAAAAGTTGGCTCCACATGTTTGCAAAGCTAAAGGAATTTTGTATTCCTGCTTAGAGTGACAGTCAGGGATTTCTAGCCTCTTCCATGGACTAAGGTAGGCCTCTCTTGCCTTCCAGGTTTGTACAGTACAAAGCCACCTCTCTGGAGAAGCAGCACAAACATGACCTACTGACAGAGCCTGACCTGGGGGTCACCATCGATCTGATCAACCCTGATACCTATCGTATTGATCCCAATGGTAAGAGGGAGAAGGCAGAGTGCTGAGAAAGGGCTCTATGTGCACCCTATAGAGCAGCAGCATTAGTAACACCAGAAGGATGTGCAGGGATGTGGGATTGCTATATGCAGAATCCTTACTGTGCATTTTAGGTGCCTATCAAATAAGTAACAGGCTATTTGAGGTAATACACTAAGATAATGTGTTCAAAGAGGATCATTATAAAGTTCAGAGAAATACATCATAAAGCCCTACAGCTGATGCAACCCGAGAGGGAGCCAGATTCACACACACACCCGACATCTCTGACCATGAGTCCACCCCCCTCCCTTTCCCCTCTTGCAGTTCTTCTGGATCCAGCCGATGAGAAGTTGCTGGAGGAGGAGATCCAGGCACAAACCAGTTCCAAGAGGTAATAAGCCTGCTGCTTGCCTCTCGTTCCTTCCAGCAGGAGGAAATGGGCTGCGTTCAAGAGGCTCCACCTGTCGCACCAAATGCCCTCTGCTCTCTTGGGCTACTGTGGTCTCTTCCCAGACACTTTCCTTGCCTTGTTTCCCCGCTGTCTGGGGACTCCTGCTCTCTGCCCTTTAAGCCGCTTCCCTTATTTCAACAATGGTTCTTAGCTGCCTCTCTGGTGCTTTGCTCCTGGTCCGATCTGGAGATGCTCTCTTAGCATCCCAGGGTGGGTTTCTGATTCTCTCCTGCAGGACCCAGCTGCTGCCTCCTTATTGTAAGGTGGACACTCTGTGCAGCAGCCGTAACCTGTCTTTTCTTGTATCAGGACTACTTCATTGCTGTCCCTGAAGGATTTCATAGATCCCCATCTAATCAAAGCCAGCCTTTTTTTTTTTTGCCATGAAGGGCACTGGCGGGGGGGACTACTAAACATTGCCTGGTGACTATCGCAGTGCTGTGGTACAAACACCATGGAGACTGAATACCAGACATCTTTCAGAAAACAACATTAGAAAACAACTGTTGTGTTTCCCACCCCTTCCTTCGTACTTTTGCTTTGATTGATTCATTTGTTCTCCCACCACTGGGTAGTCTTGTGAGGCGGATGGAGGTTCTGCAGCTCTGGCTCCTGAAAGTCTCCCCTTGGTACGAGCAGCCAGGGGAGCGGCGGATGCTGAGCAGTGGACTCCACGCCTTTCCTGGCATGCAGAACCAGAGTCTTGGGAGATGCCAGCCATTTTTCTCTTCCTGCTTCTGCCCAGATCCCAGCAGCATGCCAAAGTGGTGCCATGGATGAGGAAGACGGAATACATCTCCACCGAGTTCAATCGCTATGGCGTCTCCAATGAGAAGCCTGAAGTCAAGTAAGTGGAAGCCTTTCAGGAAGGGAGAGCAGGGGTTTGCCTGCTTTTCTAAAGTGGGGGCAACGGTGGTCTTCCTTGATGCCAGTGATTTCCTGCAGCCCTTCTTGAGGGAGGACCCCCCCTTCAGGGCCCCCTTCACCCAAAGGAGCGACACTTTGGTGAACTGGGATGTGGTCTTTCCATCAGGATCGGTGTGTCTGTCAAGCAGCAGTTCACAGAAGAGGAGATCTACAAGGACAGAGACAGCCAGATCGCAGCCATTGAGAAAACTTTTGAAGATGCTCAGAAATCGGTCAGCCCGCTTGAATGGCCCTGTTGGACTTCCCTCCTATTGCTCTGTCAGAGTTACAGAGAAGCAAACTGGGACACTGGGCCCGGAGTTAAGCAGCCACACATACTGCTTGGGTTTGTGGCTGATTGGGGGCGGGCTCTTTGGGGAGCCAGAGAGACCGCTGGGCTCTGGGAGGGAGCTTGTCTGTGTGAGCGCGAGCGACTTTGGCCCATTTTCCTCTGTTAGATTTCTCAGCACTACAGCAAGCCTCGGGTCACTCCAGTGGAAGTCATGCCCGTCTTCCCAGACTTCAAGGTAAGAGAGAGGAGAGGAAAGAGGGCTGGGGGGTGGGGTGGGGTGCCTGCTGGGGATGAGGCAGTGACCTGCTCTTCTTCTTCTCTGCTTCCTTCCAGATGTGGATCAACCCCTGCGCCCAGGTCATCTTTGACTCTGACCCAGCGCCCAAGGACACCAGTGGAGCGGCCGCCCTTGAAATGATGTCTCAGGCCATGATCAGGTGGGGCGTTGCTCCATGCCACCTTTTCTTCCCTGACTGGGAGTGGCTGATTTCAGACCCCAGAAGGGTCTGTCCTTCACATGACCCTTTTAGGTCAGGGGTGGGGGTAATTGTCCACCCTCAAATTGCAAAAGATCCAGAATCCTATTTCTTTGTTTGCTTTGATCTTGCTTGTGAGGGATGGGAGGGTTCTCATTTTTCAGCACACTCCCAGTAGCCGGTGGCTTCCAGGAGTGGAAAGGGACAGTCCCCCCACCCCCAAGTCTTGGGTAGGGCAGCCCCCAAATCCACATCCTCAGGGGCCTGGGCTCTCCCACCCGAGGGCTGGCCTTCCTGCCCTCTGGTTGTGTTGCTGTTTTTCATGCCACTGACGGCCGTGGTTGTCTTCCCTCTGCTTCTCCAGGGGCATGATGGACGAGGAGGGGAACCAGTTTGTGGCCTACTTCCTTCCTGCGGAGGATACGATGCGGAAGCGCAAACGGGACCAAGAGGAGGAGATGGACTATGCTCCAGAGGATGTGTAAGTGAGGGTGGAGGGATGGCTGGTTGAAAAAATGGGAAAACCAAGGGAGCTTTAAGTGGCTCTCTCTTCCCCTGCCCCCCAGCAACATGATGGGGAACAGAGTTGATCTCTGCTCTTCTCCATACCTTGCTGGCTCTTTGAATGCAGGGATTCTTTCACACAGAGTGCTGCTTTATAAGCAGAGTTCCCACCTGGAGTCAAAACTGGTGCCATCCCAGGCTGATCCCCTTCCAGGTCTCTTGTCTGGAGTAAATCCCATTAAATTGAGGAGGTCCTGGCACATCTAAGGCTCTTGGCTCACGGGACTCTGCCTTGGCCGTTGCACTCAACCCCTTGTGGACTGTTGCCAAATGCGTAGAGGCAGGATCCTGACCAAAGGATGGGCGGGTGTCGTCTCTGTGAAGGAAACCAGATGAGAATTCTTCACTGTGTCAGCTGATGGGTTTCTGGGGAAGAGGAGGGGGAAAATCCCGTCATTAGTAGGGAAAATGTTCTCGGCTTGGTGGCGACGGGGTTGCGCTTCTGTCTTGAAGGAGTTCTCTCCTTGCTACTTCCTCTCCTCCACCCTCCACTCCAGGTATGAGTATAAAATTGCCCGGGAGTATAACTGGAACGTTAAGAACAAGGCCAGCAAAGGCTACGAGGAAAACTACTTCTTCATTTTCCGCGAGGGCGACGGTGTCTATTACAATGAACTGGAGACCAGGTGAGAGGAGGACGGGGCTGGGGACCTTGTGGTATCTTGGTGGGTGTGGCTGTGCCCTCGTGAGGTTCCGGCTTGAATGAGGGTTCTGCTGGCAGGCAGGACTGCCCTGGGCAGAGCGGGACATGGAGGCTGCGGTCAGCCGTCCCCAACCCACGGTACGCCCTTGGGCATCACGTCCCGGCATGGCATGGCCTTCTAAGGAAGGTGGGCCTGTAGCTGGGGTGGGGGTCTGCCGTCGGCTCAGGACCAGCCGCTGTTTTTCAGGGCATCTACCCATGATGCAGCTTAAGTGTTGTATCCTGGGGGTGCTTCCCCTCCCCTTTCCAGCATAACCCCACTCAACCCTCTTATTCTCCGTCAGAGTGCGTCTGAGCAAACGGCGAGCCAAGGCTGGCGTACAGTCGGGTACCAACGCGGTGCTGGTGGTAAAGCACAGGGACATGAATGAGAAGGAACTCGAGGCACAGGTAGGGCCTGGGCGGAAGCTTCATGTCCCCTGAATTGGGAGACGGGGCATGCTGGAAGAAAGAGGCGCCCAGAAGGACAGGCCCCGAGCAGCTCCTGTTGCTCTCAGGGGCTGGGACAAGCGCCCGTCTCGCTGAGTGGATGCTCTGGGCTGGAGGAGGAGGAGGAGGCTGGACCCTTGAGCCGTCTTGCCAGAGCCTGGGCTCTCCGGAACGCTTGGACCGTGGCTTCCAGAATGTTCCCGCCATGGGAATGGCCAGAGTTTGAATCATGGTCTCTGGAGCCCAGAACTACTGGCTCTGAACTGTGATCTGGGGGAGAGAGGGAGAGAGGCCTCCTGGCATGGCTAGAAGGTTCTGGGTCTTAGGCCTGGCCTCTGGGTCACAGAAGGCTAGGGCTTTAGAGTCGGAACACCTGGGAGGAAGAGGGCGGAGGATGCCCCTCTGGGAGCAGGTTCCCACTCCCTTCTTGGAGACCTCCGTTGCTTGCTTCTCTCTCTCCTGGACACGTCAGGCTTTTCCAGCCACCTGGAATCTCTAATTCCCAAATTCTTCCCTGTGTGTCGCAGAGGGTGGGAAGGGAAAGCGAGGAGAAAGCTTTGTGCTCCATTCATGGGGTCTCTGGAAGAGTTTCCTTGGCTGCTTTGGTCTAGACCGAGGGAATGGACCCCTTGGCAGGATGATGAGGCTGGCAGGGGCTTGTCCAGTCTGTGAGCCTTTCTATGCAGCTTTGTGTCTTTGTTTGCAGGAGGCTCGCAAAGCCCAACTGGAGAACCACGAGCCGGAGGAGGAGGAAGAGGAGGAGATGGACGTGGGCAAAGAGGCCCAAGGATCAGGTAGCCTATCTCTCTGGGGGGTCCTTGGACTCCCCTCCCTGCACCTTGCACGGGGCTGGATCCCCCGAAGTCTTGCATAAGCAAGGGCTTTCCTCCCCAGATTCATTCGCAGACTTTGGGGCGACGTATTTGCTTAATGCTCCCCCCTCCTTTGAGTGCCCAGTGGAACCTTCCAGAGCTGCCTTTCCCCCCACCCCCTTGCTTCATGGACTGGCCCGGGGGTGGGGTAGGGATGCGCAGAGATTTGCCTTGCTTAAAGGGGATGAGCTTCCCTCTCCGTTCTGCTTTTCCCTCCCTTTCCAAGGGGGGGGGGTTGCTCTCATGTTGGCCCTGGGCCTGTCTCTCCTTTTAGACGAAGAGCCGGAAAAAGGCAGCGAAAGCGAGAAGGAGGCCAGCGAAGGGGAGGAAGAGGAGGAAGAAGGCCGCTCGGCCAGTGAGAGCGAGCCAGAAGCCAGCGAAGGAGAAGGTGCCGGCGCCGAGGAGAGTGAGGAAGATGAGCGGGCGGCCCGAGACAAGGAAGAGATCTTCGGCAGCGATGACGACGAGGACTCTGAGCAGGAGGGCGGGCGGCCCGAAGGGGAGGAGGAAGAAGAGGAGGAGGAAGAGGAGAGTGGCAGTGAGGAAGAGGAGGAGGAGGAGGAGGAGGCGGCAGGGGGCCGGCGCCCACAGCAGCGCCATGGCAGCCGCAGCCCCTTCCTCAGCGGCAGTGACCGCTCAAACCATGAGGAGGAGGAGGAGGAGGAAGAAGGCGAGGTCAGCGCTAGCGAAGCCCCTTCGGAGTCCAGCGAGGAGGGGAGTGACAGCGACTGAGCCTGGAGGGGTGGAGTCCTGGCTGTCCTGTGGGACCATCCCCCTCGCCTGGGGGAAGGCGCGCTGGGGAGGTCTCCCCCCATGGCAAGCAAGGCTGGCAACCCCTTTGCCTCGAGAAGAGGAAGGGACTATGGGAAGCAGCTTGCCCACACAGCAGCCCAAGAGTGGGGGATGAAACCCCCCCCCAATGCCCTGTTCAGCCTCCTCCAGGGCTGGCACTGGACCATTTCTTTGTGTACAAAGACTGGCATTGCGTGTGTGTGTGTGTGTTTTAGGTGATCCATTATTTGCTCCTTATGTGTTCCCTGCTTGTACCTAAAGGCACTGGTTTTGCTGCCCAGACCCTTTGCAATAAATTTCCCCCGTCCTTTTCTCTCAGGCACGTCTGCTTTCTTGTACCAGGGCAGCTCCTCTTCCCAGGTGACTCTGAAGGGCGGAGAGCGTCCCTCCCCTCTCAGATTTCTGCCTGGGGTGTCCACTCCATGCACTGCCGGCAGGTGCCCCCCCCCCGAAACCTTCCCCCTTCCATCAGGCCAAATTCCCCAGCTGCTGTGCTCCACCATGGCTGGGCCGGGGTGCCATGAGGTGGGAATGGGCCAGGGGTGGGCTGGCCTAGTGGTGACACACACACACACACACACACACACACAGAGGCCAGCAAGAGGCAGGCTTTGCTAATCTCATGCAAAAGTTGCAAAACACGAGGAAAATGCTTGGGAGCTCTGAAGAAAAGGGAGGCGGCGGGTCGGGTCCCATGGCCTGAAAAGCAAGAAATTTTGGGGGAAGGAGAGGGGATGTACTGGTCGGATGTACTCCAGACGGAATGTTGGACAAGGGAGTGCACTAGAAAAGTAGGTGAGAGCAGAGGATTGATAAAATTTGAGGATATTATTTAACAAAGACAAGATCAAGAAGAAGGATACAAAAGAAAAGGAGCAGTGTGATTTATGAAGATTTTAGTACAGTACATTCTGGATTTGAACAAGCAATGATTAAAACAAACCAGTGGCAGGAGGATCTTGAGGAAGAGATTAAAGTAGAGGATTGGAACAAGATATAGTCACAAAAAATAACGAAGAATATGTCTATAAGGGTAAAAGAACATTGTTTATAAGTTAGCATGGAGATGGTACTTTACTCCAGTAAAATGGAATATAATAAATTAAAACAACATTTCAGTGTTGGAGACATAAAATGGAAAAAGGAACTTACATGCATATGTGGTGGACATGTGAGATAAAAAATAAAGAATTTAAAAGAAATTAGAGAAATTATTGGATATGATATTCAAATATCATCAATTATTTTATTAAATATAAGAATGATCATCTTAAAACTGAAGAGTTGTCATAATGGTCACAGTAGCAAGATTAATATTTGCGAAGAATTGGAAAATTGACAAATCTCGAAGACTGGTACAAAGAACTGTGGCGTTTAGCAATTGCAGTAGTGATAAGTTAGCATGTGAAATGAAAAGGAGAGAAATTGTAAAGTCTAGTGATTTTAAAGAGGTACATAGTTTACATTTGGAGCCTGTTTTTTTTCTGAAAGGGAAAGGCTGTAGGCCTGCAAAAGACTCAAATGTATCTTTGGGGAGGAAT